CTAGCAGCTATATAATAGCATAGAACTAGGCTAGCCTACCTCTAAGAGAGCAATAAATAATATACTGCACTAAGATAGTCTGTATCTCTAGGGAGTAGAGACAATTAGGAACTAATAGATAGAATAGGAAATTAGGCAGGCGTAAAACAGCCTTAGCTTAGCATAGCAGCTGCGCTAGCTATAGCTAGCTGTAAGGCTGGGAGGTAATTTATATATAAAATAAAAGTAAGGTAAATCTAAATATATAAGCTATTGCAGCTAAACACTAGATATTTATGCTAGCAGCTATATAATAGCATAGAACTAGGCTAGCCTACCTCTAAGAGAGCAATAAATAATATACTATACTAAGATAGTCTGCGTCCCTAGAGAGTAGGAATAATTAGGGACTAATAGACAGAATAAGAAATTAAGTAGGCGTAAAATAGCTCTAGTATAAAGCTAGAGTTAGGCTATAGCTAGCTGTAAAGCTAAGAGGTAATTTATATATAAGACAGAAGTAAGGTAAATTTAACTATATAAGCTATTGCAGCTAAATACTAAATATTTATACTAGTAGTTATATATTAGCCTAGAGCTAGACTAGCCTACCCCTAAGATAGTAATAAACAATATACTATATAGAGATAAATTATATTCTTAGAAAGAGAGAACACTTAGAGGCTAGAGAATATAGCAGGAGAATAGGCAGGAGCAGTATAGCTCTAGCGTAGAGCTAGAGGCAGGCTTAATTTTTAGGAGTTATTAGCCTCTCTAGAATACAGCTAGTAAAGCTAGCAATACTTATATATATACAGAAGGCAGGCAGATTCTAGCTGGCATAGAGCTAGAGCTGCTCTAGAGAGTAAAAACAAAAGTAGGCAGGGTTTTTCTTTCTATTAAAGAGTTTTCTAGGCTTAATATAAGAAGAAGATGTACTAGTTATATAGCTTTATAGCTATCTAGAGTATTTAATATAAATATATACTTTACTATATAAAGAATATAAATATTATTTTGAAATATTTTTAGGTATTTATTTAATAGCTAAAAATTAGTATTTAAAATTCTTTTAAGCTTTTAAAACTTTAAAAAAAGTATTTTTATATATTTTACTATATAAAAAAAGTAAATATTATTTTTAGATATTTTTAGATATTTTATTAAATTAATTATTTATATTTATATTTTCTTAGTATTTATTAGTAAAAAATTTCTAACTTTAAAAAATAAATTAAAATACTTATAAGCTATTAAAATACCTTATAATTTAATTGAAATTAATTTAGCTATTATAATTTATAAATATTATAAAAGTTTATTATATAATATTATATTTATAATTATATAATTTTTTAAAAAAGTAGTATTTATAGTATAAAACTCTATTAAAAGTAGGGGGCTAGCAATCTTATAGAGCAGGACGTTACCTAGGCACTTACCTTAAGTAAGCTCACGTAAAAATGCAGGCTGTGCTATCAGATAACTAAATTCTACATCCCGGTCTTCGTCTTATCCTAATATTATTTCTTGCCCGCATTGTTTCGTCACTCAAACGAGCGTTTTAAGAAACACGTCTGCTTGTACCCTTCTGACGTTGACAATGCGTTAGCTAATCAACGAACCGTGACAAAACAAGATGGTCCGAAACAAGCCGTTTGAGCATCCTTAATATCTATCGTCTGCTTAGAGCACTCCGCTTAGTTCACTGGATATTGAGTAGATTTGATAGTTGTCTAAGTGAGAGGTAACCGACTATGTGTCCCCCAGACCTCGGCAACCCTACCAGATTCAAGAAACTACAGATAGCGCAAATACAACACTATTCTCCGTCATCGAGACGCCCGTCGGGACGCCGCGTGTAGTGTAACGCTTAAAGTAGCCTATAACTAAATAACGTCCCGCCCTACAAGATCGCCAGCTCTCTACTTTTGATAGAGTTTTACACTATAAATACTACTTTTTTAAAAATTAATAATAAAAGAAAATAAATACTAAAAAATATTATAAAATAAAAAATAGTATTAAAATTACTTATATTTATATATTTTAAATAAAACTTATAATATACTAGCTTTATAAAATTACTAGCTTTTTATTTTTATTAAAGCTTTATATTATAAATACTACTTTTTTAAAAATTAGTAATAAAAGGAAATAAATAC